TGAGGTTTTGATTTGGATTTCCCTGATGCCGAGCGATGTTGAGCACTTTTTCATGTGTCTGTTGACCATCTGGATGTCTTTTTCAGAAAAGCGTCTGTTCGTGCCTTCTGTCCATTTTAACTGGGTTGTTTGTTTTTGGGGTGTTGAACTTTTTTAAGATTTATCTGAGAGAGTGCGCGCATGCTAGTGGGGGGAGGGGCAGAGGGAGAGAGAATCTCAAACAAACTCCCCGCTGAGCCCAGAGCCTGACATAGGACTCGATCCCGGCACCCTGAGATCATGAACTGGGCTGAAATCAGGAGTCGGACACTGAACTGACCGAGCTAACCCCTTCATTGCTGCTTTTATACTTCCTGTTTGAGGCATCTATTAGTCTTTTTTCCCCAGAGATTGAAACATAACATGCCCCTTGAATGAACCTTTGTGTGGAGTGAGGCCTGTGATGGTTACTTTGCACCCTGTATCGGTCCTGCCCCGGGGGTGGTTCTGGGGAAGCCACTTTCTTCCTCTGTGTCTTCGGGCAGGAGACAGGTGGCCAGTGTGTGTGTCCCCGTGTCCTGGTGCCGTGAAGGACCCGTTCCAGTGCTCACAGACCCTGCATGCAGGGACTTGTCAGGGCGACCATCCCTCTGCTCCCCATGTCTGGGCCCCACTGTAGACACTGGAGTGTGCAGGCGCCTCTCCCCCAAGGACGCACAGGCCTCCTGTGCGGCTCCCTGCAGCCTTCTCGGAGCGTGGCAGGTGCAGTCCCAGGAGGGCCGGGGAATCGCAAGGCATCTTGATGACCTGGCCTCAGAAGTTGGCCCGAGGCCCTGCCCTGCGCCCCGCCCAGGCTTAAGGAAGGGGTGGTAGGGATGGTGTCCACCGTGCAGGCACTGGTGGGATGGCTGTCCTTGGAGTAGCCTACCCAGAAATTCTCTTTCAAACTGGTTTCCTAGCTGCCTCTGAAGGTTGTGGGGGAGGGACGGTTCAGAATGTTACAGAACCGCAGAACTCGGTCTTTGGTTCAAAGGTCATGGGAGTGCTGTGCAGGCCGCCCTGGTGAGCATTCATGGGTGATGGGCAGGGGACTGGGTGGATGAGTAGCTTCAAGCTCGTTTTCCCTCTTTTTGAAATGCTTGTCCCCTTGCAGGCTTTGCTGCAGATGGTGTGTGACGAGAGCCACCACATACTGGCCTTGTCCGAGTGCCGCGGGCTGCCCAGCGCCCTGAGCAAGGGCGAGCCGAGTGCCCCCCTTGAGCACTTCCCGAGGGAGGGCCCCGGCCTTTTGGAGGCGGTGCCGGCCCTGCGGAGACATCTGAACCTAGCACCCCAAAAGGGAGAGAAGGTACGGGGCGTCCCACCTGAAAGAGAATAAGGTGTGGGTGAGGAGCAATTGGAGGGGGTTGCTTAGCCACATAAGTGGGATAAAGGGAATAAGGGGTGGGTCAGCGGTGGGCACGGAGGCCGTGTTCCTGGCCAGCCACCCCTCTCAGTCATGTTTGCTGGGACCAGCCATGTGCCAGCACGTTCCCGGCCCCATTAGGGCAGGAGAGGCTGTGGGAGGAGGACATATGGTGGAGCTCTGCTCGAGGTGGGTGACGGGAGGCAGGCTTGGGGGCTGGGCCTGAGCCCACAGGGTTCCAGTGTCCACTCTGCAACCAGGGAACCAGGGCAGCTCGGTGAGGGCCAGGTGCTGAACCACATCCAAGGGGACCTACTGGCCACAGGGTGTGCAGGGAAGCAGTACCCCAGTGCCCGGCCCAGGCCTGCCAGGGGACAAGGTGGCCAGCCAGCAGCAGCCATGCTGGGCCTCGTGGTGTGGCAGCGCTCTGTCCTTCGGTGGCTTCTCCTCCCTCAGCAGGGCTGGCTTCTTGTGCCCTGGACAGTCGTGGGTTCTCTTGTGTCTGCTCTTCTGTTGGGTGGTTTCTGGTTCAGCCTACAGGACGCATTTGTAAGAATACTGAGCTCCTTGTCCCAATATTTTAGGACCCTCCCGGCATGTGTCTTGACTGGAGAGGAGAATTTCTCCAGGTTGTGCAGGAGGCATTTGGAAAAGAGCGGGAGATGCTGAGGGCCGAGCTGCAGCCCCAGCCCTGCGGCTCTGAGCCCGGGGACCACAGCTCCCTGCTGGAGCGGCTAGAGAAGGTGGTCCAGCAGCAGGTGAGCACGTGCCTTGATTTATTTCCCAGAGCCGCGCAGCAGAGAGGGTGACGGAACCAGTTCATGGCAATTTGACCTTGGAACGTGGCAGTGACCAGGAAGAAGTCCTGCCTCCGTCCAAACGTAACACTGTTTAATCATGATTCCATCAAGTGGAGACGTCTGTGCATTCGTTCTCCTTGTCAACCTCACTGTGTTCTTTCCTTGAAAACAGAGCAGCGCTAAGTGGCCTGACCCAGGCTGTGAGCGCTGAGCCCAGGGTTGGAGGGTCAGAGCGCCAGAGGGGTCGGCACTGTTTCCACCAGGCCTCTCGTAGGAGAGGGCACTGGAGTCTGGACGCAGGGCCCACGGCAGGTCACTCTGGCATAGACCTGGGGGAGAGGTGTGTGAGGTCTGTGTTCCAGACCACGTGTTTGTCACGGGTATCCTCCTGCGAGTCTGTTCTTACTGTGTCGGGGACGAGGCTCCGTCGCCAAGCTCGTGCCCGCGAAGCTGGAGGCACGAATTTGCATTTGGTGGGCCGCTTGCGCCTGGAGTTGTCAGCACTCTTGCCAGGCCTGGCCTCCCCGCCCCTGGGACGCGCTCCGGGCTCCCGTGTTTCCCCACTCGGGGGTGCTCCTCCACCGCAAGGCCTGCTAGTGGCCGCGTCTGTGACCCTGCTCCCCCCTCCCCCGCCGCACCTCTGGGGAGGTCTGCAGGAGGAGTCCTTGGAGCACCTTCGCCTGTCAGACAGGAGCAGCCTGCTGTCCGAGATCCAGGCTCTGCGCGCCCAGCTGCGCATGACCCACCTGCAGAGCCAGGAGAAGCTGCAGGAGCTGTGCGCGGCGCTGACCAGCGCGGAGGCCCGTGGGAGCCAGCAGGAGCACCAGCTGCGCAGGCAGGGTGAGTGCTGCCCTCACGCCTGCGCCCCGTGGTGCTCCCCTGTGGGGGAGGGGTGCACAGGTGAGCCTCGCCCCGCGGGCTGCCCAGCACTGGATGCCGTGGCCCCAGCAGCGTCCCAGCCTGCCCGGGTCCCTGGGCACGGGGGCCATCAGCCCTGGCAGTTCTCGGTTCACAGAGCTGCGGGAGGTGACCGGGGCGGGGGGCGGGGCTGGGCTGGGTGGAGGCCTTGCCCAGGGTCCCGGGGGGCCGTGGAGGGACTGCGTCGGTGTGAGCGCTGGACGCCGGCAGGACTGTGCCTGGGAATCTCTGGGGCTTGAGCTGGGTTTGAACAGCCTGTCACGTGTTTCTACATTTAATTTAGGCTCTTCGGGATTTTTTTTAATAGATGCTCATGTTGTCTTTGAATAAAAAGCATTTTATTTCTTTTCCCGCCTGCCTCCTCTTGTTACCAGTCGCTCTGGTTAGGCCAGAGCGTTTTGGTGAGTGGAGGGCCGCGGCAGTCCTCTGCGGTAGGGCCAGCGCCGCATCTCACACTCCTACACAGGGTGCCGGTTGGGGTCTTCGAACCCGCGCCCCGTTGGCTCGCAGAGCCCCTTCTCTTCCTAGTTTTGGGTGTTGAATGGCGGGCCAGACCCATCCAGCGGCGCACCTTGCGTTTGGGTCGTGTTGCGTTACCTTGTGAGCATTTCTGGGTTGGGCTTGCTGATACTTCGCATGTGCTTGCGTGAGGGGTGCTGGTCTGTGGTTTTGTCTTCGGTTTTGGTGTTGGAGTAGTGCCAGCCTTGTGGTGGATTGGCAGGTGTCTCTTCCCTTCTGTGTTCTGGAGTTTGTAGAGAACCAGGGTTATTTCCTCCCTAGGTTTTGGGAGAATTCTGTAGTGAAGCTCTTGGGGTCGGGGCTGTCTCTGTTGGGACCATGCAGTGTAGGAGTCGCGGGGGAAGCTGTGATTCAGGATGACTGCGGGGACGGTCCATCTCCGCCCAGCCTGCCCTTCTGCGTCCAGGCAGACCCCAGGCCTGAGCAGCTGGCCCTGGGGAGCCATGTCGTGCCCTCCAGCCTGCGCGGCCATTCTGCCCATGCATCTCCAGGTGCCCCGAGGCCTTGGCGGCGGGGAGGGGGGCGGCAGCATCCCGGCTGTAGGCCCGGAAACGTCATTTTCCCCAAGAGTGAATGCTTCCTCGCTCCCACACTGGTTTGTTTTTAATTTGTGCCGTCCCGGCACAGCTCAGCTGGGTTCACGGGAAGTGCTGTCTTGTGTTCTCTAACGTACCCCCAGTGGAGTTACTGGCATATAAGGTCGAGCGGGAGAAATGGATGGCAAGCGAAGTTCAGAAAACCCTGCACGAAGAGCAGGAGAAAGCCAGCAGCGTTCGGAAGCTCCTGCTGGTGGAGCAGACCGTCGTCAGAGACTTGAGGTCCGAGCTCCACGAGCGTGAGCAGGACAACGAGAGGCTGCTGGCCTCCCTCAGTGAGGCGCAGAAGGAGGTCCTCCAGCTGAGGTAGGGCCCTCACCCACCTGGCCGTGGACTGTCGGGTAACGCGCGGAAGTCACGCACTTGTCCCCACATCTCTCGGTGTGGATGTGGAAGAGTGGCCCTCACGGGCTGTGGTCTGTGCGCACTGTGGGCGAGCGCCCGTGACCCGCGTGGGCCCGTCTCCCCACACAGGTCCGTGCTGGACAGTAAGGAGAGCGACCTGAAGGCGGCCCTGCAGGAGCTGGAGTGCGAGCGCGGGAAGGAGCGCGCCCTGCAGAGCCGGCTGCAGGAGGAGCATCTGCAGCACCTGCAAAAGGAGGGCCAGAGCTCCAAGACCCTGGAGGTGCCTGGGCAACGGGGCCCCTCCTCCCCTCCCCGCGGGCACGTGCCGGGAGAAGCGGGCCTGTGTCTGGTGCAGCCGCATCTCCGTCGTGACAGACGGTGCTCGTAGTCCCTGGCGTCTCTGGGCGCAGGGCTCCTCGAGGCGGACGCAGCCTCCTCACTGACGAGCTGCCCGGAGTGCAGCCTCGGAAGTGTGTGTCCAGCCGCACAGATGGCGGTGACCCGGCTTCTGTGTCCAGAGGCACTTGTGTGCGTGAACTGACGTGCCGTTGGGCAGCTGGGAGGGCCGCGTGTCCGGCAAGTGATCTGTGCTCCCCCGTTCCAGGCGGAGCGAAGCGGTCGTTCACGCACACGGAGCCCGTGGCTCCGCCAAGCAGGACGCTGTCTGAGCGTCCGGGGTGTCGTGCTTGTCGGGGAGGGAGAGTGAACCCAGGGCGTGGGTGTGCGTTTACGGAGCACCGCTTCCAAAACGTGCTCCACCCGTGAAGGGGACGGTGAGGTGAGGACAGGACTGTTGGTACCGTAGAACAAGGTGTGGTTGCTGGCCTGGGGATAGGAACGGGAGTCGGGGCGGGAAAGCTGTTTCCGTACTGCTCTTGACGGACGTTTCCCCGACACAGGAGTTGAGAGTATCCTTGGAGAAGCAGTGTGCTCAGAGTAATCGACTGTGTGTTGCGCTGAAACATGAGCAGACGGCGAAGGACAACCTCCAGAAGGAGCTGCAGATCGAGGCCTCGCGCTGTGAGGCGCTCCTGGCGCAGGAGCGGGGCCAGCTGTCCGAGCTGCGGCGGAGCCTAGAGGCCGAGAAGGGCCGGTCGCTGGAGCTGGCCGCGGCTCTACGGCATGAGCGGCTGCTGACGGAGCAGCTGAGCCGCGGTGCACGGGACCCGCCGGCACACCACGCTGTGCTGAGGAGGCTGAAGGACGAGAAGTCCCGCGCGGCGGAGCTGCAAGCCAGGCTGGAGCAGGTGGACGTGCAGAAGCGCTGTGCGGAGCTTGAGAGGGAGAAGGAGGTAAGGGCCGCACAGACCCCCGCCGTGGAGCCCCCCCAGGCATGGGAGCCGCGGCATGGTCTGCGGAGAGAGGGGGAGAGTTCCACGAGGCTGGCCGCACAGGAAGGACGCGAGGACTCGAGGAGGAGAGCAGAGACGGGGCCAGGCCGGGCTGACGTGGAGATGCGGCCGACGGGAGACAAGGAGAAGCTGGTGAGAGCGCGCCGGCCGCGTCACCACCCAGCAGCCCGCCGTGGGGCTGAGAGCACCCCGGGGCCGTGATCCCGTTCCACTCCTTCGTCCCACTGGTCTGTGTCTGTCCTCCGCCGCCCTCCGCTCGCCACGGCTTCGTGGCAGGTTTCCGCGTCTCCGACCTCGGTCTTTCTCAGGGTTGTCTTGGATATTCGGGGTCCTTGGGATTCTGGGGGATTGCGTTGACTCCGCAGATGGCTTTGGGGGGTTGTCACCTTGACGGTGTTACCTCTGCGGATCATGAAATCGGAAATCTCTGCACATATTTAGGTCTTCGATTTCTTTCAACAGCGTTTTGCTGCTTTCAGGTGGTAAGTGTGGCGCTGTTAAATTATCCCCAGGTATTTTATGATGTTCTGATGCTGTTGTAAATGGAATTGGTTTCTTAATTTCATTTTCAGATCGTCCCCGGCTGGCATACAGCAATACGGTTGGTTCTCCTATTGAGCTTGCATCTTACAACCTTAGACTTGTTTGTTATTCTCAGTTTTTTAACGTATTTGTGGTTTTCCGTGTATGAGGTCATGTCACCGGCACGTAGACGTAGGCTTTCTTCTTCCGTCCCTCTCCGGGTGACTTTTACACGCCGTCCTGCCCGTCTCGGGAGTCCCTCTCTTCTGGTTCACTCAGCCTTTGTATGCTGTATTTTCGGTCATGAGACAGTTTGGATTTGCACTTGTAGTGTCTTGGAATCAATGTTTTTGCCCTTTATTCTGTTGATGCCGAGTTTTCCCATTGATCAGGTTCCATCTGTGGATCTACCCTTGCGTTCTTGGCTGAATCCCACTTGACTTTGGTGATGATGTTTTTTATACACTCCTGGATTCGGTTTGCTAGGGTTTTGCGTAAGGGTTTTGCATCTGTATTCGTAAGGGATATGTTGGTCTGTGTTTTTCAAGTTGTGGTGTCTTTGATTTTGATATTTGGATGATTTTTGCCTCACAGGTTGGGAAGTGTTCCTCTTCTATTTTTTTTGGATAAAATGTTGCTTTCAGATACATTTTATGTCAATCAGAAGACTTTGTTTCTGGGAAAATTAAATTCTGTGTCTTCATATGGATTGACATTTGTGTTGCCTTCTTTAAAAATGTTTTTTAATTATTTTTTTAAAAAATATTTTTAGGGGCGCCTGGGTGGCTCAGTTGGTT